AATGTTGCCATTGTTGAACGCCGACTATTACCGACAGCAAAGGAAGGATGAGCCGCTCGCTGTCTATGTTGCAGACATTAAAGAGATAGCCGCCGTTCTTCGTCAGGATATCGATCAGTCCGCTGTGGTCCACAATATTCTCGATGGATTGCATCCATACCAGAGGAGCTGTTTGGTGTTCAGTGACAAGCCGCATAGTTATGCCGATTTGGATAATATGTGCGTGTATGCTCATAATGTTGAGAGTAAGGGTTATAATGTAGTTAATGAACTTCCTACACACCTTGTAGCGTCCAACTCTGCTCGATCAGTTCGTTCTGGTAATCCAGTATCTCGCGCTGCCTCAGTAGTCTGTTTTCGTTGTAAGAAATCAGGACATACTCGTCGGGACTGTCGTACGACTCTACAACCGATTCTTACATCTACCTATCAGGGGCGTACCCCCGATTCTTGACTAACACGAGATATGTCTCGCGCGCCTACATGTAACGGGCCTTTTGCGAGCATTAATTCCCGTAGTGTGCATATCCACATGATGGGAATAAAAGGAGTTATTCCCCATCTGTTGCCTACTCTCCATGTTGAATTAGGTTTTGGCCTGTTACCTGCCTTGTTAGATTCCCATGCAGTTCGTAGCCTGATGTCGGGTTCTGCTTACGAAAAGCTTAAACAAGCCGTCCCGTTTGTTCAGGTAACTTCTGTTAAAGCAAACTGTGTTACTGCGGCTAGGCAGTCATTTCCAGTTTACACTGCTGTTACGTGTAAAGTCAGGATAGACAGATACATGTGGAAATTTATGTTCTACGTAGTGGAGAATTTAGCTTACCCACTTATTTTGGGATCCGATTTCTTGGCTAAAACTGGCTTACTAATGGACATTTGTGAAGGTTTTGCTTACTTTAAATTTGACCCGGCTAATAAGTTGCTGTTGATTCGGCGTCAAGTTGATTCGCATGTGCCAAGAATTTGCACATCTGTGGAAACTGGTCCAGATTTGTCCCATCTCGCTCCCCCATTGTCGGACTCTCTTTCACAGCTGATTAATCAATTTACCGATGTGTTAACTGCTGACTAGGTCTTACCACTCTCTTGGAATATGACATCGAGTTGCTTGACCAGTCTCCGGTCAAGCTGGCCCCTTATATGCTCATGCCTCCGAAGATGAAAGTGCTGCGCCAGCATATTCAGCGTATGTTGGAACAAGTTATTATCCATCCCTCCACATCTCCATATTCTAGCCCTATATTCCTAGTACCAAAAGGCGAGGGCGAATTTCGTCCTGTGGTTGATTACCGCGCACTCAACAAGAAGATTAAGATTGGGTCAGTTCCCTTGCCAGATGTTCATTCCTGCTTCCATTGGTTTAAGTCAGCTAAAGTGTTTACTTCGCTTGATCTCAACTCTGCGTACCATCAAATTGCATTGACCGAGCAATCAAAGCCTCTCACGGCGTTCACGACTGACTGGAACTTGTATGAGTACACTAGGGTTCCCTTTGGAATAGCAACAGGTGCTCAAGTTCTTACGCGCTTGTTGGATCAAGTGTTCTCTGACATCAAATGTAAATATGTCTTCCATTATTTGGATGACTTGGTGATCTATAGAGATTCTTTTGATGAGCATCTCCACCACTTGCATGAAGTCTTTACCAGGCCGCGCAAGGCCGGATTGACCGTAAATCCTAGTAAGGTTAAATTTGGCACTACTCAGTTATCATTCCTGGGTCACATCATTGCCCCTTCAGGTGTCTCTGTGGACCCTGATAGGACGAAGTCTATCAGGGATTTCCCACCTCCGCGTGATGTTAAAGGAACCGCGCGATTCATAGGAATGGTAAATTTTTTTCATAAGTTCATTCCACACTTTGCAGAACACGCAGCCCCTCTTAACCTCCTTCGCAAGAAGGATACTCCGTTTGTTTGGGGGTCGGAACAGCAACAGGCGTTTCAGGATTTGAAACTTGCTATCATCAATCCTCCGGTTCTATGCATGGCCGGTTTCTCTCGTAGCTTTATCCTACAGACTGATGCCAGTTCCCTTGTGGTTGCCGCAGTCCTATTGCAGGATTATGAGGGGGGAACGCCAACCAATAGCGTTCGCTTCCCGGACGTTGTCTCAACAGGAGAGGAAGTTTTCGACGTATGAGTTAGAATGTCTTGCCGTGCTTTTTGGTCTGGAAAAATTTCGCCCATATTTGGAACACGTCAAGTTTGATTTAGAGACTGACAATCAAGCTCTTACGTGGTGCCTCTCACATCCATGTCAATTAGGGAGAACAGGTCGTTGGGTCATACGACTGTCATCATTTAAGTTTCAGGCTCACCACATTCGTGGCACACAGAATGTTATTGCCGATGCCGTCACGCATGTATGATGACCAAGCTCAACTTGTAGTTGCACCGGTTCTTCTTGAGTTTCCTATCCTATTCGAAGATATCGGTATTCATCAGCGCTCTGATCCAGAATTAAATGCCATTATAGAG